GGTTGGATGGAGCTCTGAGCAACCTGGGCTGGTGGAAGATGTCCCTGCTCATGGCAGGGGGGTTGGAACCAGATGATCTTGAAGGTCCCTTCCAACTCAAAACATTCTATGATTCCATGATTCTACGATCAGGCTCAGCCCCCTGGTCCAGAAACAGCGGAAAAGTCCCGTCTTTGGCTTCTCCAAAAAACTGATTGCCCGCCTTGGCTGTTACTGGCACCATGGTGGCACCTAGAAGCCACATGAGAGATGTGGATCCCCAACAGATGCATAAATATCTGTGCCCATCGCGGTCAGTGCGAGGATGCTGCTCCCCGTGTCCCCAGCAATGAGCACAACGATGGGGCGCAGCCAGGCTGGGATCTGCGTTTTTCAGCCAGGAGCAGCCAGCAGAGCTCACGAGCAAGGGACCGGCCAGGCGAGCCGAGGTGGACCTCTGGCACATTCCTGAAAAAGGAGCCGATTTTTGCACAGACCGACATCCAGGTCCCCGCCGTGCCGTGGACCCCGAGTGCTTCGCTGTGAGCCACAAGCGTGCGGCACAGGCTGCGCGGAACATATGGGGACAGAACGGCAGCCTCGAGTGCCATTAACTGGGAAAATAAATACACGCTAGGTCTCTCGCCTCCCTTGTCCGGTTTTATATCTGGAACTAATTTTGTCATCATTCTGATGAGTGACGAGATAATTGCTGCAGCTGGGCTATTCAGCCTATTCCAAAGAAACCCTTTTCTCATCAATTCAGGCAGTGATTACATACTCCGAGCCAAATTTTTGCTCCACGTAACCCCATTAAGGCAGAGCCTTTACCCTGGGGATGGGTTTAGCCCTCACTGTTTAAATAGGGCGTTCGCATTTCTTTGTTCTATGGGAGACAAAGGAAAAGCTTTTTTCCTAAATTGAAAAAAATAAGGAAATCTGATGTCTTCCCGCGCAAAACAGGACACTTAAGATGCAGTCACAGATAATCAGAAGTGATCCACTCTGGCCCAAGTGTCAGGAAAACGGCCATATTACTGTCTCCAAAATACCTCTGAAATGTTCTATTTTCTAGAGCGCGCTGGGCGAGGGGAAGGAGGAGCGTGTCTGGCACGGCGGAGATGCTGCGTTCGCATGGCAGATCCGGGGACAATGATCAGAAACTATTCCCCGAGCAGCTGGGAGAGATTTCAAGTCGAGGAGCGCTTTGTGCAGAGGAGGGGGCTGCATAAAAGCGAGACGAGGGCTAAAAAGGAAGGAGGGATGGAGCTGCCTGGGATAATGGCTGCGACTGCATCTGTGGAAAGGTCTGCGAAGCCCTTGGTGTTGATGCTCTGTGGTTTTTTTCCACACAAACAGCGTGATGCTCCTTCGTGCTCTGCTGGCAATAGAATAAAACAAAAGAAGGTCTGAGGTCCGCTGATACGAAATGAGAGTTCCTTGTTGCTCGTTTTCCTAACAGCAAAATAATGACAGGAGGAAATAGGATTGTGCGTTGAACAGGACGTATCTGCAACGTGCAAGTGGGGTTTGTGTGAATACAATTCCTATTTAGCCAGCACAATAATATTCACTGTTTACTAGCTAAAAGGAAGCTAAAATTAAGATATAAAACAGTGTCCTCCACCGAGAGCACAGAAATAAAATTACTCTATTGTCAAGAGAAGGGCGTGGAGAATCTCCTGTCTTTTGACCTTGACTTTGACCTTGTCTGCCTTCTCCCTTGTGTTATCCTGAGCTTTTCGTCTAGTGCTTTACCTTGCTTGATCTTTAAAAAGGGAACAATAGGAACCCAGCTGTCCAGTTAAATGGCAATTTATAGCTGTCGCCCACATCGGAAACAAAGGAGCTGGGCTTTTACACAGGGGGCTCCTGGCAACACGAATTTCAAGCGCAGCCCTTCAGCAAAGCGCTCTCTTGCAGCCCATTAAATGAAAACGTACAACTGATCTCATCAGCAAACGCGCTCGCAGGGCACGGCCGTTCGGCTGCTGCTGGCTGCCGGCTTTGGGCCGCTCCGAAGGCAAACGATACGAAATCTGGCAAAGGCCAAATATCCTATTTTTTGTCCAAAGGGGTGTTTTTACAATCAGATGGCTCACTGGAGATAGCTTTTATCATCACAGAGCTGCGTACAGCCCCGTGGGCGAGGAAGGGCAATGTTCACCTTGTGCTGATGCTCGGTGCAGAGGTACCTGCCTCTGCCCTCTCTCCATTGGGACTTGATGTCTGCTTTCCGTGCAAATCACAGCATTATTTTCCCTTCCATTAAAACTATGATTACATCTTGGAAATCTGTGTTGAAATTCTAGCTCGGTACAAAACTCTGACAGCTCAAAACTTGCTACGAGACAGAAAGCCTGCAAAATGTAGCTTCAGAAAAGAGCTTGGAAAGA